AAAAAATTATCACAAAACATAAAATATGTTTTGGGTTTTTTTAATTATTATTAAACTGTGAATAATGTATTCACTCAAATAAATACAAAATATAATAAAATAAACATTAAGGTGCAGCATTTCGATGAACTGAAATAATCTGTATTTGAACTGTAGCCTACTGTACTAGTACTCACAAAACATAAACTATTCGTTTTGGGTTTTTAATTATTATTAAACTGTGAATATTTACTCAAATAAATACAAAATATAATGCCTTTTCAAATGAGTGTGCAAGTTTGATGTATTGCCAGCCGCGTAACCAATTTTAGTTGAACAATGCCAACAAACAGCTTTGGTTCGGAACACCTGTCTTTGTCAGTCATCCTTGTACGTAACTGCGAAACAAAAATGTTCCCAAACCGGAGACTTCAATGATGCTGGAGGATTTTCGAGCTCAACTTTATCTGCGTTCGCCATTTCGACAGTTCCTCAAATTACTGACTAAATTTGAACGCATCCCTGTGACCAGCTCTCATAGTATGCCTCTCGTCCAATTAAATGACTTGGTCGCTCTATGACGCGTTGAACCCAATGTGAGCAAATTACTCTGAATGCTGCGACGCAGCACCTGAAATTACTTCCAAGAAGTTGTTCACGTTCTCAATTTTTTACGTTTAACGTTATATTCGTTGGGTACAGGGCCCGTACCGAATAATTCGGTACGTGTACCGTTACACCCCTAGTGTTCATACAGTTTGTAAATTCACAATTGTTTTTTTTACAACAAGAGAACCCCATCATTAACATGTCAAGATGTATAATGTAGCCTTTGAGGCTGAGGCTGGAAATAGATTAATAGCTGCTCAACATGGGGGCTGTACACTCATCATACTACATCAACATAACCATCTGCACGCTATCAGATGTACAGTATGGAGCTACAGTATGTGATTAAAAGGCTGGCTGCTCAGAAGGCTCTGGGGCCGTGTTAGACTTTATGGTTATAGTAGATTACATCTACAGTGGCTGCAATGCAATGTAATGTACTGTAAAGCATCAATATTTTAAAGTGAGGTGCATAACTTTAACAAAACATCCCATTGATCAACTTCCAGTTTTGTCCAAATTCAAATATTTTCAGATACAAATATGCAATGTTTGATTTTGTTTTGTATACAGCATTTAGATATGTAGTTTATTTTCAGATAAGCAGAACTCCATGTTATTGTATTGTGTTGTCTTTAAAAAAAAGTTGGACAATTTGGAAATATGCCATGATTTATGGTTGAGAGTAGTTAAGATTGCCTGATATCATGTCAAGAGCTGGAGCCAGGGGGCTATTAGCAAAGCTTAGCATAAGGCCTGGAAGCTGAGGAAAACAGACATGTGTTTTCTTCAGAATCTTCCCTAACAAAAGGATTGTACTTTTGTTTCTCTGACACCCAATCCTGTGATTTTGGCCAATACATTTTGAATAATTATATTGAGTATTGGATCTGCTGTGTTGTCCACAGAGGGTAACAGTAGCCCATATAATTAACATGATAACTAAAATAGCAGCAACAAAAGTAACAGGGCACTCTAAGACACGTACAGATGTTTTGACGGTCCGAAAGACTGTGTTAAATTAAATACTGCTTAGTGCAGGGATTAGCACACAAGGAGAAGGGGGGGGGGGCACTGAGTTCATAGTGGGCAGCTGAGGCGTGAGCGGACCTTCAAAATACACATTACACAAGAGACAGGGGGAAATAACAGAAGACAAGGCTTTGTCTAAGAGTCTTGAACTGTAATCATTGCAATCCACCAAGAATGAACAACAGGAAATGTAACACTGAACAAAAAAAAAAGGATTACTTCAGGCCAATTTGGCCTCTCGTACATTAAGTTTTTTCTTTTTTACCATTCTGGGTTACAGAATATGTTTGGTGCAGTGGAAATTATTAATAAGACCATATTGGTTCACATTTGAGAGGCTCATCCAGCAACTCAGCATGGAGACCCATTACAATCGTGGTAATCCTCAGGATTTGGTCAGTAAATGAGTGAAACAGAGATGATGTTTATTCTCAGCGAATGCACCACACTAAACACAGACATGGGTGGTACAGTCTTAAATCCCATGAAGTCCCTGCTTAATTCTAAGTCAGTGCCAACAGGGCATTAAAAGAAACAGAGGAAATGTTGCCATGAAAATAAACTAAGATCAGTTGTGGGTTAAATCGGTGGTGCAGATTGTAACCCTTGATTTGCGAGGCTTTTGTTGTTGTGTTATGGCATTAGCTCAGTGGCAACGAGATTGATCTGAGAATTGTTGAGTATGTTTTATTAAATTCTTCAAGTACATTTTTTCTATGTTGATATGTGCTATATTAAGTTATTGCCTTTATGATATGCTGATCCTTTTCCTACTTTTCCAGTTTAGTAATATAGTTTTTTTGGCGATAGGGCCACGAGAAGTGGTTTTGTGATCTTTATTGAACATGGGTCGAGTGCGTCTACATTTCCGAGTATACATACAGAGGGTAATAATGGAAGCTTCAGCCAAGGAATCAGGTTAGTTTGGTGGTTTCTTTTACCCAGAAATGTTTAAGTGGTGGACAGGTCCATTGTGTGTTAAGGTAGTCGTCAATTGTGTTTATTCAGTGCATGGGTTTATCTGAAATGTCCTATATTATGTGCATTTCGTGCTTTATTATGTGTGCTCTGTGAATGGTCTTGTTGACTTAAACTGATGTTGGTAGGCCGAACATGTTATTACTGATTTTGTTCTAGAAGTGGTAATCGGTGTGGATGATGAGGTCTTTTCCCATTGGTTTATTGGAATATGAGGTGCATCAGTAAGGTCTCTAGAAAATGTGAGTTTATAAGGTTAACCCCTGACCATAACCCTAGTTTGCGCGAAGTACTATTATGAGTTCTAACCCTAAGCATGGTTAATGCCTAACCTTAACCATTTCATTAAAGTGTCTATAAATCAATGCTCACCATCTAGAAAGGACTTTTATAAGACACAAAAAAAGAAAATGAAAATGAACCCAATGCAAACATAATTATGGTTATTAAACCTAATACGTCTACAGTTTATATAGTTTGCTGTACAAACAGTCACATTGGTGGACTCCTAAGTCAAAAACTTATATTTGTAAAAAAGAAACAAATGCAGTTGGAGAAGGAAGTATTTCATCAACTCACATAAAGAATGCTCAACAAAATAAACTACTTCTGCCAAACTTCAAATTACTTTTCGTGTCCTTTCTCGGAACAGTATGCAGAGCACGGCAATGACCCTGTTGTAATTTTCTCAGAGAGAGACAATTTGGCGTTATCATGTTTTTCGCGAGGGAAGCATCCTCCAAAACGGCACATAATATTCCTAACGAAAGACATCCCAGCATTTATCTGCTGTGCTCAAGGCACCGTACAAAGCATACGTTTTCTTTCTCTGTGTCCTTTCCGCTTCTTGTCATGTGTCATGCTTTACCTCCTTCTCCTAATTCTCTGACAGCACCTGTTGTTTTCAGGGGCTTAACCAAGAAATATGATGTGATGATGCCTCTACGGGAGCGCTGTGGTAACAAAGACAGAGAGCCAGTCTGAACCCTGAGGTGGAAAAACAGACCCGTCTCTCTGAGTGTGATGAATATACTTGTGTGGTGTATATTCACACACATCTACCATAAATAAGAGCGTTGTCCAATACATTATTTGATTTGTCGTTCCTGTCATGCCACTCTGCCTCTATCTGCAGCTCAACTTTATTTTGCTCATTTGTCCTCTCTGTCTTTTTTTGCTTTTTGTGCTCCTTTTTGTAGTGTCCATTAAAATTCCGCTCCACTCTCCAGTCCTCCGCCCTCCTCCCACCCACATCTACCCCCTCCATTTTTCTGAAAGCAGGAATGATACACCGGGTTTAAGCTAAATTCCTTGTCTGTCTCACTAATTGCTCGCTAAATGCATGATGGAGAAAATCATTTTAAGCCAACATCTGAGTGAAAGAGCCTTTCAGCATTGTTCTGGTTGTCAAGGCAACACAATTTTAAAAAAATCCACAGAGAACAAATGTGCACTCAGGATAGACAGGTTTAAAAACAAAGGCATCTCTGCCTTGCTTTGACTTATTTTACTTTCTCCTTCTTTTGAATTTCTCGTTTACTTCCTGTTCCACTGCCAGCTCTGATTTTAACATTTGTTTCCAAAATCCGTTTTAAAAGAAGTGACACCTTCCCTTGTTAAAAAAAAAGGATTTCTTGAACAAAATGACAAACTGACAAAAAAGGTATTTACTTAGAAACAGGGACAACTTAGATTATTCTGACAAAACAATAAGCCTCATCTTGTAGACACACTGAATGGAGACTGACAAAGTTAGTCTTTTTTGTGTCACACTTGTGCTTTTAAATAGTTTTCCTTTCTTTTATGCCAATACTTCTCTTGCTTTCAACTCTAAAACTCCTTCTATTTTGGCACTGAACAGAATCCCATGCTTTCATAGTGAAGCCTAAAAATATACTCCGGTTGTCCCCCCACACTCTCTCTCGCTATTTTTCTCTCATTTTTTAATTAGTTCCTGGCGTGTTGAAGACCATGGAGGTAATTTACGAGTTCAGCCTTGGGTCAAACTACTGGGATGGAGAAGGCACGAAATGTGAAACTGTGATTTTCTCAGTAGAGTAAACGTAACAATGTACCTCCCTCTCAGCTTTTCTTTCATACCAAAGCCCTCATCAGGATGATGTATGTGCGGGCGTGGAACCCATTTCTCCAACCACCTGTGTATTGCTCGCTTGTCAGGCAGTGTAAGGTGTCAGCTTCAGCAGTGGTGATATCATTACTCAAAACATTACCCAGATTTGTGCCAAAGAAAGTGAAAGACAATAAAAGGAAAGCCATGTTTGCAGCGATGTTGTCACCAGGCCCAGATGTTGTTCTTGCTCTACTTTCCTTTTCTCTGCAGAGAAAACACACTCTGATCCAGACAATCTGAGAAACTATGTGCAAGTGCCAAAACATAGCTTTGTCTTGTTTTGTGACACTATATATTGTGTAAGACTGTCAGAATTGGGTCAGTTTACCATTGAAAATATATTCAAAGACTTCTTGCTGATGGGTTGAAATAGTGTCACACAATGGGAAGCGGAGTTATCTCAGTATCGCAAGACTACAAACAATAATTTACACGGATATAATGTGAATTTATTTATTTGTTTAGTTTCTGCCTTTTATTATGAACATTTGACTTTGAACTTATAGCTTATATAATGCTGCGTTTAAAAGGTTTTTCTTTGTCCCGAATGTGGCTTTAATTAAATGTTAATCCACCATTTCTACGAAAAGAAACCTTGATGATGTAACCGGGGTTATCTCAAAATGAGCT